ATCAACTTCCCTCTTATTATGTATTATACATTCTAACAAAGAAACTCAAGAATGCCCTACCTAGGGTTGTTGTTTAACCTAGTGGTTAAAATGCCTGCCTGGGTTCAATGCCTGATGCCAGCTCCTAATTCTAGCTTCAAACTAATGCAGACCCTGGGAGGCAGGAGAGGTGTGACATAATTGGGTGACTGTCACCCACATGGGAGAACTGTATTGAGTTTCTATATACAAGCTTCAGCCTAATCCAGTCCTAGCTGTAGTGAGCATTTGGGGGTGTGGATGGGAGACCTCTGTGTGTGTGTTTCTCTTTCTCTCTCTCTCTCTCTCTCTCTCTCTCTCTCTCTCTCCCTTCCTCCCTCTCACTCTGCAATGAACAAAGAAATAACGTTTAATTCTAAAAAATGTGCTATTCTTTATTAATTAAATTTTCATGGCCGGCGCCATGGCACAGTAGGTTAATCCTCCGCCTGCAATGCCGACATCCCATATGGGCACCGGTTCTAGTCCCGGCTGCTCCTCTTTCAATCCAGCTCTCTGCTATGCCCTGGGAAGGCAGTAGAAGATGGCCCAAGTCCTTGGGCCCCTGCACCTGATGGGAGACCGGGAAGAAGCTCCCGGCTCCTGGCTTCGGATCAGTGCAGCTCCGGCCGTTGCAGCCATCTGGGGAGAACCATTGGACAGAAGATCTTTCTCTCTCTTTTTCTCCCTCTCACTGTCTGTAACTCTACATCTCAAATAAAATAATAAAATCTTTTAATAAAATAAATTTTCAGTTTGTCCAGTTTGCCAATTTTGTCAATTTTAATTCTCAACTACATTTAAAATCTATTCTAATTCTTCTATTGCATTTTTTGTTCGCTCATTGTTCTTCTTTATCTCATTCAGTTATTTCACATTTCAAGTTTATCTTCATGGATTTCCACTCCAATTCCATAGGTGCCATGTATTCATTAATCTATTAGCCACACCCAAACATCTTTCTAAAATTTTGTTTCAGTCCTTGCCATGTCATTTTATGAAATTTTCTCTAGAGGAAGACAGACAGAAACTCAAGAACTTTGCTACAGTGCTCTTCCTGCACTTGTGCTCACTAATACACATATACATACACACAGGGAGGTGGCTTTTAGTGTGATGTATCTTTTCTTTTTTTTTCATACTATTTTTTTCATAGCCCTGTACATTTTTCCCATGAATTTATCCTTGAACACAAGGTGATCTGTTCAGGACCTACACGTATCAACTCTCAGCCCCATCATCAATAACTGATTGCTATTTTTTTTAACTTTTATTTAATAAATTTCCAAAGTACAGCTTTTGGATTACAATGGCTTCCCCCCCCCATAACTTCCCTCCCACCCACAACCCTCCCATCTCCCACTCCCTCTCCCATTCCATTCACATCAAGATTCATTTTCAATTATCTTTATATTCAGAAGATCACTTTAGTATATATTAAGTAAAGATTTCATCAGTTTGCACCCACACAGAAACACAATGTGAAAAATACTGTTTGAGTACTAGTTATAGCATTAATTCACATTGAACAACACATCAAGGACACAGATCCTACATGGGGAGTAAGTGCACAATGACTCCTGTTGTTGACTTAACAAATTGGCACTCTTGTTTACGGCATCAGTAATCTCCCTAGGCTTTTGGCAACATGAGTTGTCAAGGCTATGGAAGCCTTTTGAGTTCACCAACTCCAATCTTATTTAGACAAGGCCATAGTCAAAGTGGAAGTTCTCTCCTCCCTTCCGAGAAAGGTACCTCCTTCTTTGATGGCCCATTCTTTCCACTGGGATCTCACTTGCAGAGATCTTTCATTTAGGTTTTTTTCTTTTTTCTTTTTCTCCTTTTTTTTTTTTTTTTTTTTTTTTTTTTTTTTTTGCCAGAGTGTCTTGGCTTTCCATGCCTGAAATACTCTCATGGGCTCTTCAGCCAGATCCGAAATAGTGTCTGCTAATACTAACTGATAGAATTAAAAAGGGAGAGAATGATCCAACATGGGAAGCGGGATACACAGCAGACTCATAGAATGGCAGATTCCTAAACAGCACTCTGGCCTCAGAATCAGCCCTTAAGGCGTTCAGAACTGATTGCTATTTTAAAGAATTATTTATTTATTTAAAGTCAATGCATCAGAGAGAGAGAGAGAGTGCACTTCCATCTGCTGATTCACTCCCCAAATGGTCACGACAGTCAGGTTTACACCAGGCCAAAGCCAGGAGCCAAGAACCACATCAGGGTCTCCCACATAGGTAGCAGGGCCCAAGTACTTGGGCCACCTTCCTCTGCCTTCCCAGATGTGTCATCAAGAAGCTGGATTAGACGCAGAGTAGCTGGGACTCAAATAAGCATTCCCATTTGAGATGCCAGAGTTGTAAGCAGCGGCTTAATCAGCTGCATGCAGTGTTGATCCCCACTGATCACATTCAAAACTTTAGCATCCATCTGTAGCTAACACTTTGTTTGATGTACACAGTAGATGACATTGTTTAGAAGATAAACATTGTTTGAGGACATGGGAATTTATAAATTAAGTATTAAATATATAGAGCATGTTGGTCATAGGTATGCATGTTTGGGGATTTATTTTGTTATTTTTATTGAGTAAAGAGAAAAGAACTTGAATTCTTTCCATTGAGTAAAAATAAAAGGATAAGACAGTGAGTTGGGAAATCAAGAATTTCACATGAGTAATGCAGGTGGAGACCTCCTTTGGAGTTGGCACTCTGCTGTGGAGCAGAGATCCACTTGGACAACAGCACAGCTCCTCACCCTGTGCCCCAGTTGCACCTCCACCTCAGGTTAATGATATTATAATTGGTAAAAATACCACCCACACAAAAGTGATAAACAGCAATTAGCAATGAAGCAACATGTTATGGCTTGTCCTAGTATGAGGGGAAAACTAGGGAGGAATTTGAGGGGAAAATACAAGTTAGACAATGAACAAAGTTGTAAGAGTACTTAAGTTTAGGGGCCTTTAGGGGCTGGCGCCGTGGCTCACGTGGTTAATCCTCCACCTGGGGCACCGGCATCCCATATGGGCATCCCATATGCTCCTCTTCCAGGACAGCTCTCTGCTGTGGCCCAGGAGGGCAGTGGAGGATGGCCCAAGTGCTTGGGCCCCTGCACCCCCATGGGAGACCAGGAGGAGGCCTGGCTCCTGGCTTCGAATCGGCACAGTGCGCCGGCCGTAGTGGCCATTTGGGGGGTGAACCAACAGAAGGAGGACCTTCTCTCTCTCTCTCTCTCTCTCTCTCTCTCTGTCTAACTCTGCCTGTCTAATTCAAAAAAAAAAAAAGATTACTTAAGTTTAAATAAAAAAATTCAAAGTTTGTGAACTGAGAGGGTGGAAAGTCCTTTGGGTACTATTTATCCATGCTTCTCTTTGGGATACATATCATCACCAAAAGTGAATTGATAGGGGTTTTTTTTATTAGTTTATTTATTGATTTGAGAACCAGAGAAAGAGAAAGAGAGATCAAGCTTACATCCACTGATTCACTCCTCAAATGCCCACAACTCCAGGGTTGGACCAGGTCAAAACCACGAACTTAGAACTCCTTCCTGGTCTCTCAAGTGGGTGACAGGGGCCCAAGTACTTGAGACTGCTGCCTCCCAGGGTATGATTAGCCAGAAGTTGGATTAGAAGTAGCAGTTGGACTTGATCCTGAACACTCCAAACTGGAATGCAGGTGTCGCCGCAACACCCATCCCAGTGAACCAATTGTTTTTAAACCAACATCACCTCATTTGTACTACATGTCAGCTGTGCTGGATAAATGGAATATTGAAATGAAAAATAGAGGATTTACCTCCTGGTGATTTTCATGCTGTGCTGATTGCCTCGCATTCATAGCAGCCAAATTACACAAGAGGTCTTCAAAAAGTTTGTGAAAATATGCATTATGAAAAACCTTCATGATTTCAAAAAATTTTTGCACCAAAATGAACTTATCTTTACTTTCATTTTTCCACAAACCCTCATAGCTCTTTCTGTCTCTGGTTGCCATACAGGAGGATCAGTATTGCTGGTGTAAGAAAAATGAAGACTCAAGGGTTCCTTATTTTGAGTATAATTCTCAGTGTTTGATCAGCTTCCACTTAGAGGCTAGATGAAAGTGGAATCTTCTCCTCCTTGTGTAGCCTGCCTCTGTGGTTCTTTAAACAGATAGGGTAGATGAAATATAAAAATCTGGGGCAGCAGGATAAGCCACTTCATGTGATACCAGCATCCCAAATGAGCACTGGTTCAAGTCCCTGCTGCTCCACTTCCAATCAAGCTCTCTGCTAATGCACCTGGGAAAACACCTCTGTGTGTGTGTGTGTGTAACTCTGCCTTTAAAATAAATAAAATAAGTCTTTTTAGAAAAGAAATCAAGAACACTGCTACAGAGTTCTTTCTACCCTTAACCCCACCAAAACTATTTCACTTGTGATGACTAAAATGGTTAGGATTGAAGGAGCCAACACATGTTCTCACCTTCCCCTAAGTCATCCTTAGGTAGCTTCCGGCAGTATGCAAATGGCTGCAGAAAAAAAAAAATGGCTAAGAAAGAGAGGGTAGGAGACAGTAGTAAATACAATGTAGAGAAATGGATTCCAGAATTTAGATTGGCAGGAATCTGTTGTTCCTGAGCCCAGTGGAAGAAGTAATGAGAGGAAACAAGGCAGACTGGGGCATTGGTGACTGATACCCATAACCCTTGATTATGCATTGCTGTTTAGCCCCATTCACTGTAGTCAGAAGAAATTTTTTGTGTGTATTCTGATGAGCAGTTTGTTATTTTTCTTGGGTTTTTGCCACTAATGTGAGTTTTCATCTTTTTTAATATGCCCTGATATGTAATTATGCTGGAAAAGTGTAAGAAATCATTATTGGGCCAAGATATATTTTCCTACATAACCAGTGTATACTGTTAATTTTATAGATTTATGTATTTCAACATTCTTGTGAAAAAAATTTAAACTTGGCAACACACCGTATGTAGTTTTTAAGATTTTATTTTTATTTATTTGACATCAGAAATACAGAGAAGGAGAGAAAGATAGGTTCACTCTCTAAATGGCCAGGGTTGAGCCAAGCCAAAGCCAAGAGCCAGGGGCTTCCTTCGGGTTTCCTACATGGGTGCAGGGGCCCAAGCACTTGGACCATTCTTCATTGCCCTCCCGGGTACACTAGCAGGGAGCTAGATCAGAAGTGGAGCAGCAGGAACTTAAACCAGCACCCATATGGGATGATGCTGACACAGTACTGTCTACTCCACAGTGCCGGCTCCACATTGTATGTATTGTAACTAGCAACAAAAAAGGGATTTATTCACTAAGAAAAACTATTCTAATCAATCAAAGGACAGTAAAGAATAAATCTACATGTTAACAGAAACATTAAAGAATCTTATTCTTTCTCACTGTTGTAAATAGATAACATTTACCCCACATGCTTCAAATTCTGAGAACTCTCAAGATAAATCAGAAAAACATGTTCACCAAGTAAAAGAATAACAACACAAGAAACATCAGACAATGCCAGCCCTATGTATAAATCTCAGTGTCTAATGGGCTTCCTGTCACTGGATCAGTGTCGCAGTGACACCAAGTCAGGCATGGAATCAACCCTCAAAACATTAACCTCAAAAGGAACCATAGAGGAGACTAAACTTTTGATTACCTGAGAGAAATTTGACCCATAAAACATGCATTCTGGGGAATAGACTGTCTCAAACGGCCTCATATTACCAATAACGAATTGTTTTATATCCTAAGTAAGTTTTGACACTGACAAGTCTGGGTGAAGAACAGGGAATGTGTCCCTCACATCACAAAGAAATCACAGCACAGGAGAGGCCTGAGGGAGGAGGCCAGCGTTGGAGCAGATAGTTGACCTGCCCTTTCCTGCAGACTGCTACTGCCACTCCAGGCCAAGGCAAGGGCAGCTAGGTGGAGGACAGTCACAAGGCAGGGCAGGGAAACTGGGTCACAACCAAGAACAGGAATTTACCCTGACAAAAGGAGACTGACTTGTTCCCTGAGTTACACGTGTCACTGGTCATTCCCAGGTGTTCAGCTAAGGCAGAGGGCAAAAACACAGGTGGTCTTATCAGAGAACAAAGGGCCTGGGTCCAGGAGTCTGAACACATGTGCCAGGCTTTCAGCAGAGCCAATCTGCACAGGAAGCTGGCAGCCCCTAGACAATGGTTTCCATGTACATTGTGCCCTGGTACAGGCATCCAGGCATGAGCCCTCTGGCAGGGGGAATAGTTTCATGTGGCCAGAGTGCAGAGAGGCGGTCTTGGGAAATCTGCTGTCCACAAGGGCAATAGGCCCTTCTGTCATCTTGTTGGCTACTTAGGAGTAACTAGCTCCCAAGGGGAGTTCTCTAAAGAAAATGGTGAAGAGGTGGAGGAAGTGTTTATTGATTCCCTACAGGACTAAATATGGAAAACTAAGACCAATCTCATCTAAATCAACTTCCCATGGGTTCAGTGTCAAATTCAAAGTATCATATCCTGCTCTGTGCAAAACAAATTGTGGTTGGAAATGTACCAAGCCCTACCTCCTCACAAGTGAAAAGACCTCACACAACAGTGGAAGACACAGGAAGCAAAAGCAGAGCATCTTGCCAAGTGAAGATCACAATTACAACTGCCCTAGAGACAGCTGAGTTTCCAAAACACATTGCAGCCAAACACTCTCTCTGACCACCCCTGACAAGATGGCATCTGAGTGTCCCATCTCTTAGAAGTAGTCTAGAAACTTGAACTCAGGATTCCTGCCTAAGGAGGTAGATAATAAAATCAAGACCACTGTGAATTGTGTTGACCTTCAGGTCTCAGAGGGTGAATCTGTTTGCTTAAATGTTTAGGGTGGAAAGTTAGGGAGGGAGCAAAGGCCCTCAGTACTAAGACTTACATGAAGATCAACTCCGGGGTGTGAGAGATAGGACAAGCACACCAGTTGACAGCTGGAGGAAGGCAATGTACAGCCCTAATGGAGGGAGGTCAGATTTAGATTTTAGCCAAAATGCAAGAGCCTGTGTAATACTGCAGGAAGACTGTATGGCAATCTTCCTCCAGCTCTCCAGTAGGAGACAGAGCATCCTTTTCAAGGAGAGCAGACCCGGCCATAGAAGAGAATGCTTTGGCTTTTGTTGTGTCTGATGAAAAAGAGGAAAGGGTGGTTGGCATTAAATTCCACCCAAGATGGCACTGACATCTCCATGCCCACAGAACCGCTGGCTGCGGCTGCCTCCGTGCCATTTTCATCCACCTCCACAAAGGCTTTGTGGACCACCTTGGATAAATATAAATTGGGACTTAGAGAGATTCCAGTAAGATCAGCCTTGCTTTCATCAAAGATATCTGTAACGCCCAGGTCTTGGAGAATGCTATTGAGATCATAGGTGTCTTCCAGGGTGAACTGGGGGAAGGAGACATCTACTTTCTCTTCTGACATGTTTTCTGCGCTGCACCAGGCTGCTATGGTTTCGTAGGTGATTTTCCTTTCAAGCTATAACAGAAAGAAACATAATATTTAGGGTCAGATCACCAGCCTGCAAAGAACACTCCAATTACTACCAAGTGCCTAAGCCTGTTTCAACAGTATCAGCCTTCAAATCTAAATCTCAAAATAGTCTGATTTCATTTTAAACTCCTCCAAGCAAAACTCTTTCCTCTTAAGAAGTTATAGGACAATTTGGATTCCCATGTGTTTTGGTGTCTGACAGATCAGTGTCCAGAGCCAAACCAAGCTCAGCTGATTACTTGAGTAGGCTCGGGAAAGCCCATACATTCTAAAGTCAAACTTCTTCTATTAAACAGAGATAATGCAATTAAGTTCTTGCAAGGACTAGGACAAAAAATGTATGTAAAGCACTAAACATGATGTGCCACATAAAATTTGAAGAATGACTTTTACTGATATTATAATTACTATACTGATGCTTCTCCCCACTTTTCTTCTCTTTCTGTTTCTCTTTACCCCCAGGACAGTATGCAGCTGAGCTCCCCCAGGCTTCATTAAGTCCTACTTTACAGGCAATGTGTTCCAGTATTAGTATCTGGACTTCTGTCAAGGCACATGCACCCAAAACAGGATTCTGCCGACAGGCCTTTTACTGAGCTGCAGCAAAACAGTCTGAGTGAGAGGCCAGCAGTCAGGATTTCCACAGAAAAAGAAAATTGTTTCATTTACGGCGGTTCTTGAGTTACTCAGCATCCAGTGTCCTTGGTTTGGACAACTGGTTCAGACAGCTACCAGACTGGAGAGGAGACTTCTATTCCAATGTTCTTAGCAATTTTACTTTACTGTGAAACAAGTGAGGAATAAATATCTCACATAATTCAGATGATCCTTATACAGTCTTCAGTTTCTGATAGCTCAGGCATCCTTCTGCCTCAGGATGACAAATGGTAGGTGGTGGTGTTCTCCAAAGCTCTATAGTTCAACATTTTGTAGGGACATAAAAGTTGGGGTTTACCTCTTGCAGGCCCTTCAGGTTGTCTTCAGAGGAAGAAGGCAGCAGGACAAACATGCTGAGCTCCCCTTTGGTGTACCTTATTTCCAGAATCTGCACTTTCAGCTCCTCTATGAAGCCAAGTCTAAACAAACCCTTCTGCTTCATCATCTTCACATTCTTCTTTTCATTCTGCAGTGGGCAAGACAGCAGGTCACAGGACTGCCATAGTGAACTCACAATTCAGCGGCCCCAGCTCCCCTCAGCAGAGGGGTTGTTTAAGATGAAAGGGTCAGCAGCAGAGGTTCTGAGCCATGCCAGTGATCCGAGCAGAGTAGCCGCCCATTGCCCTGTCAGCACTTCTCTTGCCAACATTTTATCTTGCCGTATTTTTATCAGTTCTTTACCTTCCCAACCACTTGTTGGTAGACCTTCTGTGTAGGCATCTACCCAGGTCTCAACTAGCAGAAACCCGAAAAAGGCTCAGTGAACTTGAAGTAATGATGTTTATTAATAACTGAATGTGCTCATCATAAATGTAAGCTGTAGCTCAAAGATTTAAATTTTAGATTGGAGTCTACAAACAGCCAATTTCTTAAAGGAAATTACAACTGGGCCATCTAGAAAATGTTGAGTTCAGCCGGCGCCGCGGCTCACTAGGCTAATCCTCCGCCTTGCGGCGCCAGCACACCGGGTTCTAGTCCCAGTCCGGGCACCGGATTCTGTCCCGGTTGCCCCTCTTCCAGGCCAGCTCTCTGCTGTGGCCAGGGAGTGCAGTGGAGGATGGCCCAAGTGCTTGGGCCCTGCACCCCATGGGAGACCAGGAGAAGCACCTGGCTCCTGCTATCAGATCGGCGCGGTGCGCCGGCTGCAACACACCGGCCACGGCGGCCACTGAAGGGTGAACCAACGGCAAAAGAAGACCTTTCTCTCTGTCTCTCTCTCTCACTGTCCACTCTGCCTGTCAAAAAAAAATTTAAAAAAAAAAGAAAAGAAAATGTTGAGTTCAAATAAAGTACCTCATTTATAAAGAAAAGTGCATCGACTGTGTCTTTATAATCAAAGCGTCTTTCCCATTTGGCCTTGAAGTAAACAGCATTCACCAGCACCAGCACTGTCGCGTCATTAATCATGCCCTTGCTGAAGAGTTCCTTGATTTTACCTAAAGAAAAGATCCCAAAGAATATTTGGAATTTGCACTATAGCAAAATCATACATGTAGACAGACTTTTTAAATAAAGTTTAACATTTTCAAGGTTAGAGAGGATCTCGTCAAGATCTAACCCAAGGAGGTGGCACTGTGGTACAGCAGGTTAAGCCACAAATTGCAGTATCAGCATTCCACATTGGAGTGCTGTTTTGAGTCCCAGCTGCTCCACTTCTGATCCAGCTTGCTGCCAGTGTGCCTGGGAAGGCAGTGCATGATAGCCCAAGTACTTGGAGCCCTGCCACCTATATGGGAGTCCTGGATGGAGTTTCTGGCTCCTGGCTTCAGTCTCGGCCAGAACTGACTTTTTTAGTCACTTGGGATATGAACCAGGATATGAATACAGGATCTCTTTCTCTCTCTCTCTCTCTCTTTCTCTCTCTCTCTCTCTCTCTCTCTCTCCCTGCTACCACCATTCTGCTTTCTAAATAAATAAATGAATTTTTTTTAAAAAGAACTAACCCAAGAAAATTAAACCACTCAGTGTCATGAGTGACATGAAAGGTTAGTTAAAGAGGTAGAGTGATGGGAGGAAGAACTCTCTCACTCCATCCTGGAGTGATGACATCATCCAGAGCACAATAATTGAGGGACCATCCTTTAATTCTCCATATCACTTGTGGTTGGTACTTGTCATCAGACATCTTAGACCATGGCTTATCTTCCTAATTATAGATCCAACCACCTGGCTATTTTATCATCTTCTTGAGAAAATAACATGGTATAAATTTTCTCTTTCAAGCATTTATCACAGTATTTCAAGTGTCCATCACATAAAAATGAAAATACAATGCTTATTTTGGTGCAAGAAAATTTTAAACTATGCCTAGTTTTTTATAATATGTATTACCCATGTATATTTTGAAGACTTCTCTATGTACTTACAAACTAAATATAAACAAAAGCATACACAAATATAAAAAGTATAAAGATAGTATAAGCAAAAACACACACAAATGTACCAGGCTATGATATGAAACTTATTTTGTAGAGACCTTTACATGCCCTCTTTCACACCATCTCACATAAAGCATGAGAAATGGGTTTAATTATCCTTTATTTATAGCAGAATAAACTACAACCAATGAGAGGTAAGACCAGTCCAGAGTCCTCCAACTCTCTTTTTTAAAGATTGATTGGTTGATTTATTTGAAAGCCAGAGTTACAGAGAGAGCAGGGGAGAGACAGAAAGGCAGAAAGACAGATCTTCCATCCCTTGGTTCACTCCCCAGATGACTGCAATAGCTGGGATTGGGATAAGCCAAAGCCAGGGGACAGGAGCTTCCTCCAGGTCTCCCACATGAGTGAAGGAGCCCAAACTTGTGGGCCATCCTCTGCTACCTTACCAGACACATTAGCAGGAATCTGGATCAGAAGTGGAACGTCCAGGACTTGAACTGGCACACATATGGAATACCAGCAATGCTGACAGTGGTTTAGCCCGCTTTGCCACAATGCCAGCCCGAGCCTTCCAACTGTTGACCCAGCTCTGGGGAATCCTCACACAGTAAAACAGGCTTAAACCCAATACCATCAAGCAATAGTTCATTTTTAGGGTACATCCTTGCCCACCTCAAAAATACCAAATCCTCAGTTACTTGCATGTAATCTGAAGTCTTAAGACCCTTCAACTGAAACCTATAACAACAGACTGTGTTGACACCATGTACATTTAAAATACCATGGGATAGGGGCTGGCACTATGGCGCAGTAGGTTAATCCTCCACCTATGGCACCGGTAACCCATGTAGGTGCCGGTTCTAGTCTTGGCTGCTTCTCTTCCAATCCAGCTCTCTGCTATGTACTGGGAAAGCAGTAGAGGATGGCCCAAGTGCTTGGGCCCCTGCACCTGCATAGGAGACTGAGAAGAAGCTCCTGGCTCCTGGCTCCTGGCTCCTGGCTTCAGATCAGCACAGCTTTGCCAATGCAGCCATTTGGGGAGTAAACCAACGGAAGACCTTTCTCTCTGTCTCTCCCTTTCACAGTCTGTAACTCTACCTCTCAACTAAATAAAATATTAAAAAAAAATATACCCTGGGAGAGTTAATTCACTTAAAAGAAAGTAGTTCCACATCAAAGCTTTCAAAAAGTGTAATACTTCCTTGACTTAATAAAGCTTTTCCTGTGTGCAAAAAAAAAAAAAAGTAGTTTCTTTTTTTTTAAAGTTACACTTATTTAATTTACTTGAGAGAAAGAGAGATCTCCTATTTGCTGTTTTGCTGTTTCACTCACCAAAGGCCTGCATCATCTGTGCTAAGCTAGGAGCCAGAAACTCCATCAAGATCTTCCATGTGGGTAGCAGGGGCCAAAGAATTGGAGCCATCACCTGCTGCTTCCCAGGGTCTGTATTAGCAGGAAGCTGCAACTGAGAGCAGACGCAGGACTTGGGTGCAGGCACTCTGACATGGAAGGCAAGCATCCCAAGAGGCATCTTAACTACCGCTGCAAATACCCACCCCTGAATTTCTTCAATTAAATACTTTCCTCTTGACAGCTGAGCGGAGCCCTGAAGGAATGGGAATTTTTATGGCATGTGGAAGAAAGAATGACAAACAATTCTGAGATTTAGAGACTTCTCCCAAGGAAAAGCCAAGGATACCTTTGCCCTAAGTCAGTGTGAGGACAGGAAACATGAACAAGAAGACCTTAGATGAAAGAAAGGAGCAGAAATTATTGAACCAGGTACCAAAGACAAACTGAAAAGTCAGATAGTGTTCCTAGACTGTCAGTGACTGATAGTTTTATTCAAAAGGCAGAAGCAGCAATGCTTGATCAAAAAGTTCCTTGATCTGAACGTGCATTTATCCTAGCAATTAAAGCATTCACGTCTCACACTGGAGCTCATTCAATTCTCAGCTCCAACTAATTACTCCACTTCCTGCCTGTGCAGATCCTGGGAGGCAGCAGTGATGGCTTAGGTAATTAAGTTCCTGGCTTTCACACAGGAGACCTAGATTATATGCCCAGCTTCTGGCCCAGATCTGGCCCAGCCCCGGCTATTGCAAACATTTGCACAGTAAACGAGCAAATGAGTGCTGTCTTGCACACATACTCTCTCTCTCCCTTTCTCTCTCTCTCTTTCTCTCTCTCCCTCTTTCTGTATGTCTCTTTCTCTCTCTGTCTCTCTGCCTTTTAAGTAAATAAATACTTTTTTTAAGGTGCCCTGGTCTGTGTCCAGCAGTTGACCTGACTCTGCAAGTTACTAACCTTTATGCTTAAAGGAAAGCGTTCTTTCTATTTTGCAAATCCATGCATATACGGTCGAAGGCAGTGCTCTCTAAGGCCTACCCAGACCAACAAGAGGACTCATCTGCTTCCTTCCTGCCAAGGTATGCCAGCAAGACCACTGACCATTGCAAATAAGAAACAGGAAAGAAAAGGCATTAGGGAGAAGTTGAGGCCACACACTTGCTGGCCACACTGAGCTCAGAAGCTAATTCAAAGTGAACAGTCTGATTTCCGATTTTTTTTAATTTACTTACTAATGAACAAGTTAAAATGTATATATTTATTATGTACAATATGTTTTGAAATATGTAGACACGGTGGAATACCTAAATTAAGCTAATTAACATGTGTACTGCTGATGAGGCCAATCTTTACATAACAATTATAATGAATAACACTTCAAACCTGAGGACACAAATCTGATTCAATAAAGTTTTATCATTCTTAGAAACCCTTTTTAAAAGAAGGTCACAGATAGGGCATACAGACTTTTCCTTTATGGGAAAAACATAATTTTTGAAATTTTTTGCATTAAGATATTTGACTATGTTATAAGAAGACATAAATCAGTGGCAGAAAAGAAAATGTGAGTGTATAGACTGCATTTTGCATCTTGAAGAATTAAGATGGTCAGATCAGAGTGTTGTTATCTTTAAAAAACGCTCCACTTTCTTAAACCTTCTTGGGCTTCCATTTGTTCTTAGTTCATCACACAAAGCAATGAAGTAAAATCTTTTATATTATTAAAATCTTGTATATTTTTATTAAGTCAATGCAGATTTAGATATTACTTTTATAAGTAAATATAAAACACTCAGGTTTGAAAGTCACTATAGTCCAATTAAAGAATTTTTAATGTGTCATGTTATTTTTCTTGTATGAATAATGTTGTAAATCCAAGAAATGGGCTTCTTAGTAATTCTAATTATGACAAATTAACTCCAGTTTCAGTGAGTCTTTTATAGGGAAAATGAGCTTGAATTCTATGGGCAAATGAACATTTATCACTGAAACACTGATTTGTTTCCAAAAATAATAGCTATCCAATCCCACCATCAGAAAGAAACCTATAATTAAAGCATTAGAAATATATACTATTGTGGTTTTAATGATCTATGATTATTTTAAAATTTATTGTATATGAGAAAAATTTACATATTTTACTTGATCACTGTTTATAACCCTTGCCTATATTCCTGTTGAACTACTGTCTTTTTACTTTTTACTTGTTAAACTATTTAATGGATCATTAAGCCTTTGATTATAATATAAATTAAAAACATTATCTTAAAAATTTTTAATGAAAAAATTGAGAAAATTTTCAAAAGAAATATTGAAATAGAAATCATAACCTGCAAGGAGAACCAATTTAAAAAATGAAACTATAAGTTCCATTTACAAAAGGAAATATTGCTTTAAAGAATCATGGAATTTACAGAAGCAAGAGACCTCCTTCCTACTCTGTCATCTTACAGACATAACTACTGAGGCTCATGAAGCTCACTAACACCAGGGTCTTCTGGCAAATCTAGGAGCAGTCAGATCCAACTTCAGTTAGTTTCCATTTTGTTTTTTAATGCAAGCATCTCAGGAATAAAGAGCTATAACCTTACCAAGCTGAACACTGCCAAGGCATAGATTTTTCATGAAGAGTAGTATTATTCCAAAGCAACGCAGTTTCTATGTCTATTGGGATAGCCATGTAACTGAGCTCCGTGAAGAAGACACACTACCAGTAAAGGCTAGGGAGCTGCTGACAATGAGTGCCCAGGGGGGTCATGGCAGACAACAACTTCCCATTGCAGCAGAAAAGCATGCTTGATAATATAGCTGCTGGCAAGCCAGTCAGGACACTCGGCTGTATTTAAATGTGACTGGGGGGTCAGCACTGTGGCGTAGTCTGCTAAGCCTCCACCTGCAGTGCATGCATCCCTTACTGGTGCCAGTTCGAGTCCCAGCTGCTCCTCTTCTATCCAGTCCCTTCCTAATGGCCTGGGAAAGCAGCAGAAGGTGGCTTGGGCCCCCACACCCATGTGGGAACCGGGAAGAAGCTCCTGGCTCCTGGCTTTGGATCGGCTCAGCTCTGACTGTTGCAGCCATTTGGGGAATGAAGCAGTTAGGGATGGGGTCTCTCTCTCTCTCTCTCTCTCTCTCTCTCTCTCTCTTTCTCTCTCTCTGGCTTTAAAATAAATAAATGTGCCTGGGAAGGAATGCCCAGTTTAGGGGCCCCACTGAAGCACAATCTGACCTCACTTCCATTTGAAGGCCTCTATTTTGCTGGGAGTTGGGTGAGGATAAAAGAGGAGTTTTGTTTTAAAAGATTATTCCATCTATGTGGAAATCAAAGTGCCACTCTTTGTCACTAACTCTGTATTCCCCTTCACTCCAAAAATAACTCTGAATCTAGTTAATAAGAACAGAATTTTATTATATCCATGTCCTTTGAGTAACAAATCTCTTCATAATCTCAGCTTTGTACTGACATTTTAAAGTCAACAGAAAAAGTTAACGTCTGCTAGCATTGTGGTTGACTGAAAGGCCTCTAACCTGTATAATAGAGCAAAGAGCCATAATAAATATAATAATAGAAGCTAAGCTGCTTTGTTTTCTTTGAGATAGAAAAGGAAATCAGCAACAATGGGCTTGGCCTTTCTTACCTTGGCATTGAGATTCAACCCAGAAGTTAACCATTTGTCTGGAGTTCTCAGGGTCTTTCCGAAAATCAGCACTTTCGATTGTTGTGTGGTAAAATTCAATCACACCATCTACATATTCCTGTTCAATTGGAATAAATGGAAAATGGTGCAATAAAATCAAATAGTGATGCTAACAGTTAAGAGACATTCACAAGAAGTCTAGTGAGCTGTGTCTGTTCACTTAACATTGGAGGAGCAGTTATGTCCACGTATACCTAGCCTCAGTCTTAACTGGCAGTAACAACACTTCTGTTATTGTAGAGACAGGACACAGAACATGGACTCACAAAGCAGTCCACAGTGACACAGTGATGGGAAGGGCCTTTCCCCATCAGATACCCTTCTACCTCAACAATCCATTTGTGAAGACATCACAAGATAAATATCAAGTAACTTGAGAGAGTTAACTATAAATGTTTCTGTTTCTACAAACTAAAACCCCACTTAATATTTGCTGACTTACCCACTAATTTGGTGCTTGTATAACTTTTTGAATGTAATCAATGCCATAAGGTTGTATGTTTAAAAATATTTACAATAACAAATTTTGTTAAATGTATTTTAAAGAAAATTTTAAAATGGGTAATGTAACACACCAGTACCACTGATTTATACACTTTTAATAGGTGAATGGTATGATATGTGAATTTGTATCTCAAAAATACAGTTTTTTAAAAAAAACAACATAAAATTGCATTTCCTTAGTAAGAGAACACACCTTTTGTGGTCAAAAGGATGTTGTCTCTGTCCAGGTATCACCAAATGTGTCCCATATCTGCCAGCGGTTGTACCCTTAATGTTTATTATTTAGTATGTGGCTCCTTCTAGTGACTAGAGAGGAGCTAAAGGCCAAATTGAGACACATGCTGCTCTACACACAAAGCTGGCTAGTCCCAGCCTTCAGACGTGCTCCTCGGGCTTCAAACACAAGCTCCTTGCTTGTGCTGTAGCACCCCTTCTGAAGGGCACACGTACAAAAGTTCATTGGGCGTAGCCTGGTTGTGTGGCACAAAAGATCATTTTAGAGAAGTACCTTGGGGGAAGCCAACAGGTAGAGGAGCTACAAAATACTTCCATTTTCATAGGGAAATGTTAGTCATGAGAAATGCCATTACCAAACCCATTCATGATCCAAAGCTATTACTCATATGACTCTTTCTTACCCACTCTATTCCACAGACAATGGACCATGTAATTTCTCATACTGAAAGCTGGGAGACACAGAAAAATTTTGGAACAGCAAGAGGTGGGTCCTGAACATCCCACCAGTCCACAGCACATCATCCTATCAAAGGTCTGTGTGCCAGGTAGCAGGTGAGTAATCTAGCCATTCATCTTTAAACAGTATGCTCTACAGTTGCAATCATCTGCCGTGCACAACTCACTGGGCGGATTGGGAATTCCTGCTCTCCATAAAGCCGGTTGGCCATACTCATGGTGTAATCAGGTTTGATTCTGTCTATTTTGGAGAGAAGCTTGCCGAAATAGCAGCCGAGTAGTTCATTCTCTTCCTTGGAAGACTCAGTCTAACAAAGAACAAATAAAATGTGAGCTTAAACATGAACCAGAGCTAAACACCACTAAAAGTGGGGTAAGTTTGTATAGAGCTGCAGTCAGAGCTGTTTTGTGAGATTTTGTTACTATATGCTAACAAAATTTTTTGTTCCTTGTAGGGGGAGCATGCTAGAAAGAAGAGAGGAATGGGAGGTGAGAAGTGATCCCCCATTAGAGGTGATGGCCCCCACATCACTGTGAGTTCATTCAGGAAAAAAAAAATAGCGTGTGTCTCAGCAGTGCACATTGTAGTTAGAATGGGACACTTGATTTTCTTTGCACTCAAAATGTCCAAGAAATGCAGTCATCTCTCCACCCTCCTCCTAAACTCTCTAGCATAGCAGTACCCTGGAGAATATCTCTGTTCCTTCTCCTGGTATGAAACAGCCAATAAAAGATACATGTGTCAGTACGGATTTCAGCATGAAGTAGAACATCCTAAGGTGGAGCGGAGAGAGCAAGAACTCCGCCGCTCTTCCTCTTCAACCATGCTCCGTCCTGGCAACCGATGGCCTATAGAAGCAGGCAAGGATCTGAGTTTCTTTATCATGAGCAGAGGATACTAGATTTTTCAGTGGGATATTGCTTCTAAGAAACTTAACCCACTGCCAAAGATGTATTAAAAAGCACAACTAAAAAGGAATGGCAGATCATAGGAGGATACTGCTATTGGTGGCATCCAATGTTCGTGGATAAGCAACAATCACCACATACAGTTCAGCCAGAAGGCAGTGGTGACTCACCTCTGGACCCACTGATCCTGCCGTCCCTTTCTGCCCCTCCGGAGAGCTGTCAGGCGGCACTTCTTTTTTACTTTTCAGACAGGGATTGACATCTTTGCCCTCATCCTGGGAAATTTCATTGAAGTGTAGTACCTGTGTGATATTGACAACATCTTTCAGATAATATGAACAATAAAGGTCCGAATAGATTCAGAAACATTTCATAGTGTGACAATAACAATGATTACTTAGACAAACAAAAGGACCAACAATAGTTTAAAGTAAAAGGGGTGCTTCTTCCCTTGGGTTGTGAAGTGGAATGACAGAGAGTCATTGAATGCCAAATCCCTGGGATTGCATTTAGGAATGCATAGAACCAAACTAAAACAATATCGAGGAATCTAGGAGATACACCTAGCCTTGAGCACTTTACAGATGGCCTGTTAGCATTGACTGTAATTGTAAAATACACAGCAGATCTGAAAGACAATACGAAAAACAAAGAATGTTAAACATCTAACTAAAATGGAATATTGATTAAATGTTGCTGTGAGAATAGTTTTGATATATTGGTTAAATAAAATTTGATATTAAAAAATTGACCTTACTTTTTTATTTTTTAATGTGGCTGCTAACATTTTAGTATTTGTATTATATTTGGATTGGCAGCACTGACCTAGAGTTATAGATCAATAGCGAAAGATAAGCTGTCTAGAGCATTGCAGAAAGGAGACAAGGGGTTCATTCTGCACTGTTCAGCTGCAGGTTGTGAGAAGGTGACCTCCAGTGCCTGAAGTAGAAACGCCTACAACCAGATCTGGAGGACACAAGCCACACTCTGCAGCTAACCTTTGCTAATGGAACAGAAAGGAGATGAATAAAGCAGAGCCATCATAAACACATTCTGCCTTGGTCTATAAATTCTACTCCTCCTGGCTAAGGGGCAATACCTTAATTAATGCCTAATCCTTGAGCTATACCAGAGATCCAAGGAAGTATAAGACCAACCCAGGAGCTGATAGTCTGTTTGATGATTTGTTCTTGTCACATTCGCTCATTTATTCTGCAGATATTCACTGGGTACGTACTCTAAGCCAAGCACTATTCTAGGATAAAATTCCTGTTCTGTAGGAAGTTAAATTCTAGTGGAGGAGTAATACAAAAAGCAATACACATAGTAGTTAATGACTGTGTGGAGTGTGTTAGAAGGGGGAAATGCCATGTGAGAAAAAGTAGCTGGAATCTTGTGGAACTAGGGGCCAGGATGCAGCATTAAATTAGGAAGTCAAAGTAGATCTCCTAGAGGAGGTAAACTCTGATCAAGGATTTGAAGGAGAAAGTCAATTAAAAGATCAGTTAGCCGAGGAATAACCATCAGGCAGAGGGAGCTGGAGCAAAAACCCTAAGGCAAGGAGGCCAGTGTGACAGGCTCAAGGGATGGTGGGGAGAAGGTGAGGGAGATGGAATCACAGGGTTGACTGGGAGTCAGATCTCAGAGCTTCTTTGTAAGGTCTTAGACTTCTATCAGGAGCAAAGTAAAAGTCTGAGTCTTCAAGTAGAAGAGAAACAAAACGCAGCACAGGTTTTCAAAGGACATTTGGGCCTGCAATATTGAGAACAGACTGTCAGTGGAGCAGGAAGCCATTAGAGGCTGTCACAGTGACCAGGTTAGAAGAGATGGTGTGGCATAGACCTCAGGAAGGCAGTGAGAAGTGCCTGGACTCCACTTACATTGCCAAAGAAAACTGTCTGACAAATGTGGTGTGAAGTGAGAGAGAAACACAAGAATCAAGGAGGAGGCCAAGATCTCCAGCTACTGGGTACATATCTGGGGCTTAGTAAATACTTACAATAGTTAGTGAAATGAGTGAGAGAGAACACATGCACATATCAAAATTTTCTAGGAATATTGATATCACTAATTATCAGGAGGAAGAATGACAGACATGCAGAAAGAGAAGAGTCAGAGGAGACGCATGAGAAAAGCTGGCAGATTGTCAGACAGCTTGGGAAGGCACCACTAAGGAGATGGAGACTGACTGACCTTGAAGAACAAGAGGATTGAAAAATAAAGCAAGATGGGGGAAATGCAACCGAGGCTCAGAGGTAGGCACACGCTCCAAGCCAGCCCAGGGTGCTGTAAGCAGAGCATCTCCACTTGCCCAAGTGAGATTAGCATCAGACCTGAGTGTAAACCCAGAGTTCAGGACCCTACACAGATACATACCTCATCAATCTGACGTGCACTGTCACTTCTAGCCCCGAGGCGGACCATACCAAGGGCAGCCGAGAGGCTCAGAGGACAGAAAAAGATATTTTTATGACCATCACTTTTGCTTATCTCTTGGAAAATGTCAAAGCAAAATTTGGTATTTGCTGCAACAAGAGAGTCCATTGGAAAACTGCTAAGAATCTAAAACTGAAAGAAAGAGGGAGAGAAATGGGTGATTGGAGGAAAATATCCAAGATATGAGTATTCAATATGTTATTAAGAACTGGAAAACAAAGGTCATCATTATTTATAAATACAGAAGTTGATGCCAGTTTTGATACAGATAGAGTTATATTTTCATTTACTAGTGTGAATTAGTTTCTTAGAATGACCATAACAAATTACAACAAACCAGGTAGCTTAAACAACAGGAATTTGTTCTCCCACAGTTCTGGAGGGTGGATTTGTTTATTCTTCTGAAAGTCAGAGTTACACAGAGAGAAAAGGAGAGGCAGAGAAAGAGAGGTCCTCCATCAGCTGGCTCACTCCCCAGTTGGCTGCAACATCTGGAGCTGAGCCAATCTAAGGCCAGGAGCCAGGAGCTTCTTCCAGGTATCCCACTCAGGTGCAGGGGCCCAAGGACTTGGGCCATCTTACTGCTTTCTCAGCCCACATCAGAGAGCTGGATCGGAAGTGTAGCAGCCAGGACTCCAACCGGCGCCCATATGGGATGCCAGCACTGTAGGCGACGGCTTTATCCACTATGCCACAGCACTGGCCCCATCAGCAATTTTTGATGTTCCTTGGCTTGTAGACTATTTCTAATCTCTGCCTCCATCTTCACATCCCTCCCTGTATCTTCATTGTGTGTCTCCAAATTTCTGCCCCTGTTACAGACACCAGTCATTGAACTAAGGACCATCCAGTAAGATCTCATTGTATCTTGATCACATCTGCAAAGACCCTATTTCCAAATAAGAGCATATCCACAGATCTGGTGGTTAGGCTTAAACTTTTCGTTTAGGGGGATAAAATTCTACAGACTTCTTGATGGAACTTCCTTTATTCAAGTAAAATAAAGTCATTCACAAAATTGTGTATAAATGATGGTCAATGCTTTTGCAAAGCCTTGGTTGTATAATGGAGGCTGATAGTTGATCAAAACCTTCAGCATCTAAGGACAAGGTAATGGGCATTCTGGATGTTTGTTCACTGCTGTCAGGAGACTGGGGGCAGCAAAACAGAAGGAAAAGAAGGGTGTGAGAGGAAAGACCGAACGATCCCAGCCTGACTCTTTAAATGTCCAGTGTAACTGACACTTGCTCAGTGCTCCTGCAGCTGTGCCCCAGCACCAGGGTTGCAAGTGCTTCTCTGGCAGGAACATGCACAGAAGTAAAATTGAGTCCCACCACCTTAGGAGGGGCATGATGGCTCATGTTGGCCAACCCCCTTCTTCTCCAGATTAAAAAAAAAAAAAAACTGAGGCCAGAGGAAGTGAAGTGACTTTCACACCATCACACAGCAGCTATGATCAGTCCATGCCCAGACCTGCCTACTCCTGGAACATACTGGATTTTACTCTCATTTCTCTTTTTGTTGTTGTTCTATTTTAGTCACTCTTTAGTCAAAGTTTTAATTCATAACTAATCATGATATTTAACAAGTAAAATGTAAGAAGATGACAGTTCCACAGGAGCATAAACCCTGGCTAAAAATGACAATCATGTCCCAAAGAGACCATTCCATTCCTATACATTTTTTGTATTCTATATTAGCTGCCACATATCAGAGAAAATATATTTATCTTTTTGACATTGGTTTATTTAACTCAGCATAATGGTTTCCAGTTGCATTCATTTCATTGCAAAAGACAGGATTTCATTCTTTTTTTTTTTTTTTTTTTTTTTTTGACAGGCAGAGTGGACAGTGAGAGAGAGAGACAGAGAGAAAGGTCTTCCTCCTCCGTTGGTTCACCCCCCCAAATGGCTGCCACAGCCTGCGTGCTGCATCGATCCGAAGCCAGGAGCCAGGTGCCTCTCCTGGTCTCCTATGCGGGTGCAGGGCCCAAGCACTTGGACCATCCTCCACTGCATTCCCGGGCCACAGCAGAGAGCTGGACTGGAAGAGGAGCAACTGGGACAGAATCCGGAGCCCCAACAGGGACTAGAACCCGGTGTGCCGGTGCCGCAGGCGGAGGATTAGCCTAGTGAGCCGCGGCGCCGGCCTAATTCACTGTGATCTCAAGGCCACCCTCTCTCCTCCTGCACCACACATACCATCTGGAGCAGGTGACGCCTGTGCTGTGGAAAGGCCTGGCCCTGAGTGACCCACCACACAGCTCCCTCATGTGAAGGAGCCTCCAGCAGGTGCACACCTTTGTGTCTCCTGCCCAAGGCCAGAGCTCATAAAAAAAAGACCTCCCCAACATGAAGGATCCATCTCAGGACCACCCTGATCACCCCCCTCTGCTCATCCCAGTATGTCCTCCCAGGATTCCCACTACCTACTTGGGCATTGATTTACTCAAAAATCTTTTTAAAATTGCGCTGAAATCCATGAAAATATGACCTAGAGATAGAGGTTTCAAGACTGCAAATAACTTTGCACCAAATTGGGACTGACTTACAAATTCCATAGTTTCTATTTCCAATATCACCTCCTACTGACCATAGCTATTATGGGTGATTAGTATTAAAAAATAGAAAATATTATATCTATACAAATGTTATTGTATTTTACCTATAATGTATTCCAAGTAATTAATTTAATATTTAACCTTTAATGAAGTAAAGGAAGGAATTTGGTTATTAAATTCTAACTTCCTCTACAGATGGCAGAATAACAGTAATGAGATACGTTACTCTCACAATACTGACAAATCCATTGCTCTTTCTCTTCTGTGTTCTTTCCAGGCTTACAGTCTGTGTGCATGCCTGCTGTTTTCTCAGTTCACATTGGATCTTCAGTGCTTGTCCACACTGAGACACTCATATGATCTGCCTTTTGACATCTTCACAGGATCCCATTAGGTTGACATTCTAATTTCATAAACTAAGATCTTATTGCTGGAAATTTATATTAGTGCCCTGATTTTCACTATTATGAATAATTCTACAAATGAGCATCTTCATAATATAACTTTATCTTCTTTCATATTATTTCTTCAGGATATCTCCTTCAACATGGGACTTGTAGGCCAAATAAAGACTTTTAGCTTTCACACTGTCAACCAAAAGTTACAGGTGAGACACCTGCATCATTATTTCACCATCTTCAAATAATAACTGTTATCATTCTTCACAATTTGAAAATTTTTACTTTACACTTGCTAAGATTTGAATATTGGGCATGTGTTCTTTTCTGTTTACAGATTATTTTTGTTCATTGTCCCTTCATGTCCGTTATCTGTTGGTGTCCTCATAATTTATAAAAATATTTATTGATTATTATGAATTCCTTATATTATGGACATTAAAGGTCCCACTATGAATCAGCTTTTATTAATGTTCTACCATATTGTAAATATTTCATTTGTTTTAAAATGTGGTTTTCTTTACAATGAAAGGGTAGAAGTTTAGACTAGATACATGTTCTAACAATCCAAAATGTTCCAAGTAAAATTGTTCTTTCCTATAAACATAATAGGAAAAAAATTTGTACTGTAAAAATATTTCATGTCTTATGATTCCTATAATTTTCACAAAGCTATTAATAAACCAGGAATAAAATTCCAACTTCACACAGGTAGATGCTATTCTCCTGGAATAAGTGTTCAAGCCAACCTATACATACTACAAACCAAACTATCGTAAAACAAGAGAATACTTGTGAAAGATACAGTCAAAAGTGTTTTCCAACTAACGATGCAAAAGAGACATCCAAACTCACATTATTTAAAAGACAGATATTCTAAATATTATACCATTTTATATTTCAGAAATCATTCATTAATAAATGAAATATAATTGCCAAGTATGTGAGTGCTAAAAAATATTCAAACATCTGCATTTTTTTAAAAAACAATGAAGTACATTAGACATCTGGACAGGTGGTAGGGGCTGAGGGATGCAGTAGCTATTGTTGGTATAGCCAATGAGTTTTGCCACAGAAAATCCAAAGCATCACAAAACAAATTACTGATTTTTGCAAAAATAAAATAAAAATAAAAATAACATCCTTCATTTTCAACCACATCAGTCTTTGCATTTCTCTTATTGAAAATAGTTTTCTAATGCAGTATTTATTGTTAAAAATTATATTCAACATTGCAAGCATTTACCTTCTTGCCTTCAGAGTCGCTGCTAACAGCTGACCAAGTTTCAGTGCACACCCTCTCAGGAATGAAGATATACCAAGGCTGCCCCTCCCACAAAGGCATTTCTCCAAGTACTATTTTGAAATCTAGAGCAAAAGTGTCATTGATTGATGAAAGGAAAAAGAAAGGAAAAGAAAAAGGAAAGAGAAATTGTACCAGATAGGTTTTAAAAACCAAATTCTCATACTTTATGCTTTCAACTAATGAAATATTTAATTTAATATGTTTATATTTTCTCAATTCTTTTCAGTTAGGTCTCTTTATAGAGTCTTCAAAATAATGTTTGATCCCCACCTTTCAACTAAAATCTCTGAAAATAAAAGAGAAAATAACTATTTTATTTATTTATTTTTTGACAGGCAGAGTGGACAGTGAGAGAGAGAGACAGAGAGAAAGGTCTCCTTCCCCTTGGTTCACCTTCCAATGGCCACCGCGGCCAGGGTGCTGCAGCCTGCGCACCGCACTGATCCAATGGCAGGAGCCAGGTGCTTATCCTGG